TACTAAGTACCTGTACTTTAGGTGTTTGTGGGTTTTTCTTTCCATTTTTCAAAAGAAGAAAAAAATATTGAAATTGTTTTCCTAATTATTCACTAACTACAGGAACTCTCTACTTTGGAAATTTTGCATCATCTTGAGAATCTGAGGACTCTGCACTGCTGCAAGTTACCCACAAGCAGCCACCCATCCCTTTGCCTTTCCAGAGATACTACTCTTTTACAATGAGAAGGTTATTTCCTGTTCTGAGGAAAAGTAGCATGAAGCTTGGCCTAAGGAGTATCAAGTACAGTGAGTAGGTAGTCAAAGAGGATGAGTACAGAAATATCTACAGTTTCTACAGTTTCTCTGCCCTCTTTTCCCTGTGCACTTTTATGCTGCTTGGAACAGGTATTATCTGAGTTGGACATTGAGTACCTGCTGTTGGATTAACTGCAGGTAAATCTGATGGCACATGGAACTCTCATTTCAAGGGTTTGGGTTTTGCGTTTTGGGTTTGTTTTTAATTGAGCTTCTGCAGGCTCCTTTTATGCTCATTCCCTGGAGAACCCTGCCCACCTGCAGCTGTGCGAGCAAAACTGGGAGCAGAGAGTGGATAACGCCCTGCTCCCGCTGCCTGCGAGTGGGAGAAAACAGAGGCAAGACCCTACATGGGGTCAAAAAGAACCTCAGATAAAAGGTGCTTTGCTGGGGAAGAGGTGAGTTGCTTTTTTCTAGTCCATTCTCCTCTCCATGAACATTTTTATGCTTTTGCCATAAGAAATGCAGAGAAATACATGGTACAGAAAAGGCAAGATATTTCCACTACTCCAAAACTGTTCCTCACGCACACAAAAAAGTAGTTGTCCATGTTTGCCTAGTGAACTGAGTCACCTATGTTTGTTCAGGGGTCTGGGCATAGAATTTATTTAACTGCGCAAATATTGCGTCATGCTCTGTTCATGACCTTGTAGTGATTTATTTTTTCATTTTTGATAAGCCACAGCTCAAATAGCCCAAATCGATTTCAGATGGAAGCATTCTCAAGGCTTATTTCGCTACTAAAATTAAAGGACACTTTGTCAGCTTCTCTCATGCAGAGCTTTACCGTATCTTGGAAGTAATTTCACTGGAGTTGTAGACCTCTTTCTGGAATGCAAGTTGTTATATAGTGCTGCTGTTCAGCCTTTTGTATGGGAACCAAAACCTCAACTGGTTTGCCCCATTCATTTTGATAAAAAGAACTGCATGTGATTTTTAATGTGGGAGGTATTTATTTTTGATCTCTCCTTGGGTTTAATGATAAAAAAAAATTCTCTCAGATGTGAACAAAGTGAAGGTGTTAGAATGTTTATGAAAACAAGATGATGACAGTGACAACAGTGAGCAGCCACCTGGAGCAATTAGCCCTGCTTCACTGAATATGGAAAATCATGGTCATTTATTAACTGAAAATACAGATTTATTTTTGCAATTTAGAAATGGCCTCAAAGACACTGAGTAGGAGAGCAACAACCAAGGCTTAAAATACATACTTAATGAATAAAAATATATACATGCTTTTTGTTTTTGTTGCATGATTTAAATGGTACTTTTAAATAGCAACTTAATATTTTGAGGAAGTTGTTGGCTATAGCTTTTACGGTTGCCGTGAAAGTGTTCTGAAATTATAAATCAGAGGAAATTGCATATATTAATGTTTGACCTGCATGCTGATTTTTGGAGAGCTTATTTAAAAATATACTTTATAATCTCTGTTTAATCAGGGTGAAAATATAATTAAAATAGAATATGAGAATATGAGGTTTAATAAACTGTTCAGTTTGGTGTTGTCAGCCGACCTGCTGTATCCTGACAGCTTAGAATGAAACAAACACGGGGCGACGTGTGCGGCCGTCTGTGACAGAAGTGTTTTGCTGCCTGCTCTCGTGCTGCGTGTGCAGCGTGGCAGGCTGGGCGGCACCAGGGAAGTTTGGATGCAGACACTTGAATGAGGTGCTGTGAATGCTAATGTGGAAAAAAGTCACTTTGGTAGCTTTGCTTCTTGTGAACTTGGGACCTTTTGGAGTTAAACTTATGCCGATTGCTTGATAGAGCTTTTGAACTGGTCAATACCTGTAAATTACCCGTAAGTTAGTTATAAAACAAGGACTGTCAGTTTTTAAGGCTTCCTTTGTCCTTCCTCCAAGCAAACCTGTGAAAACCCTAATAGGAGCCTTGCTACTTCCCGTGCATCCATGAAAATCAGTTTGCAGTGACCTGCAGAGATGTGCGTGCCCTTTGCTACTGAGGTTGGGATGCGCTCCAGGTTTCCTGGACAAGCTCTTCTTGCCTTCCGAGCGCTGGGCCGGGTTGCACCGAGGGAAGTTAATAGATGTAGTGCCAGTGATGCCAGCTGCTGCGAAGCTACTAAACTTGTTGGGTTTGTGTGTAGTAAAATGGAGAATTGTTGAATTATTCATTATTATGCTTTGTTTTCCCATGTGCTGATTTTTTTTTTTCTTTTAATATGGGAACTACTTCTATATTTTCTTCCTCTTTCCATTTTTCTCCTGTTGCATCTTGCCTTCTCTGTAGGGACAACTTTCCTTCCTTCCAGAGCATCCGTTGTCGCTCGGTTGGTGGGAATGCAGTGCCACGTTCACAGTGCAGAAGCAACACAAGTGCGCCCTGCAAGCTCCCAACAGAGCCATGGGCTCTCTGACCAGTTCACCAGTTTGATATGGAGGAAAGAACATTATTTAGAAGTGAAATGTACTCCTGATGCTGCTGTCTTAGCCACGACCTTCTCACTCTTCCTGAAAGTTGGCAGGGAGTGTTTTTGTTTGGTTTGTTTGGCTGGACTCTGTCGTCTTTCTGCTGACTATTCCTGTAAAGCACGGTAGCCAAATTTATCTTAACTTCAAATATTTTGCTATAAGGTAAAGAGAGTGGAAGAGACCTTCCTGATTTATCAGAGCAAATGCTCTTTACTCCCACAGTTTCACCAACCCATCTATTTCACCAATCTCTTGATCTCACACAGCATAAGGGAAATGTGCCCTTACATGCACATATGGAATAGAATTTTAGTCTGTGCTGACTTCTTAGCAATATGGAGGCAGTAAACTGAGCACCTAGGCCTCCTCCTGGCCCTGTGCTGGGCCAAGGCAGCATTCAGCACTTATGTGTGGGTTGTGAAGAGCAGTGCGGTGGCCACCAGTGCTTATGAAATCTTAAAGGTAGAAATGCCCAGCTGCAAGCGTGCTGCTGGCCAAGGCAGGCATTCCAGGAAGCCAGCAAAGACACACAGGAATTCTTCAAAAATGTCAGCTTTGAACCAGGTTTAACTAGTTCTTACATAGGACTTTTGGGCAGCATAGGAGCGTGTGGGAAGCTAGACAATACCATTGCGCTAGGGAAGGGGTAGTGGATAATCCTCCTCAGAGGTGGTGCTACTACTCATGCGAGTTTCTTGGGTGTTTATTTAGCAGAAACGCTGCTCTGGAGGTGTCTGTTTCCTGAGCTAAGAGGAAGCAAAACTTGAGTAAATTTTGAGCTGACAACTGTAGAAGGGCAGACTAGTGTTTCTCGTTGAACTTAGAAGCTGTTACAATAATGCAGAGGTTTCCTACCGTACTTCTATACAGATGTGAGAGGAATAGTAAGTATGAGGAAGAACCAGCATGCTGAGCAGTCCCTGCCTGAGCTAGTCACCTGGAAAAGCTGAAGCAAGTGATGCTTCTGCAATCCTGTGTTTGCCAGGCTCAGCCTGAGAGCTGCAGTTCAGAGCTAAGTGCCTGTATGAGGCTGATATTCATGTCTTCTGTGCCTAAATCTCCCCTTTGGGTATAGTAAGCTAGCTGTATTCTCTGAAATGGTTGGGAAATAGATGGTGATATTTAGTAACCTTAACTTTGTTCTGTTTTGTAGAGAGGCTTAATGTGTTTCTCCTTCTCTAGAAGGACTTCAAAGCTACATCTCTGCCTTTCTGTGCTAGAGAGCAGGACTCCATCCATTCAGCACATGCAGGAGGAGATACAGTGCTGTGAGGGCCAGCAGAAAGCATGCAGGGAGGTGACAGCTTCCTGAGGTAGAGGAGCCCCAGCCATGCCATTCGGGTTTGGGTTCTCAGGAAAATTAAGGGTAAAAGCTTCGTGAAGCTCCCAGATACGCTGACATGTAGGAAGGGGATGAGGTGACAGAAGCTCAGCTCTACCAAGGTGGTGGCAGTCTCAGGTTTTATTTGCTGTGGGAATGGTGCCCACGGGTACTGTGGGAAGTGTATTGGCTTCATGCATCTCAAGTGCCTGGGAGTTAGACAAATGCTAGTGATGGTGCTCGGTGATTGGGAGCCTGTGTTTTGACATACGGTGCTTTTGGGCATCAGAACACTTTACTGAGCTTTTTTTTTTTCTTTTTTCCTTGTTCTAAATGAAAAGGGAAACAAGTTTTATTGTTACTTTACAGGAAACCCAGACAGTTCGTGGTATGTTCAAGGCCACAAAGTCAGCCTTTGCCATACCAAGAGAGAGAATGTGATTCTCCTGGATTAACCCACAGGCTTTACCTCTTCTCCTAAGCGTCAGTACTGTTGCATCCTTTCTCAAGCTCCAGATTTTTCCTTGGGGGTTGTGTGCCTGTAGATGATTTCACAGTGTCACACAGACAGGTGGATATCACCTGGGAGTGCTGCTAGGGTCGCTCATCTTAGTAGCAAAAACCCTCCCTCTGTTGCCTCTGCAGCTCATTGTGCAGCGGCAGGAATTGAGACAGTGTTGGTGTGAATCCAGGGGGAGATGGGAGGTGTTTCAGGCTTTAGTTACCCACAGCAGAAGAGAGGGATAATTGCCACTGACTCCCCAAATCTGTAGGCGACAAACCAATTCCAAGCAAATACAAGCACAGTTTTGGGGAAGAATATTCTGGCCAGATAAATGATTGTATGACAGCTGTTACTGAGGATTGATCCTCTGCTTACTTGATCAGTGATCTTGCGATTTCTTAAAAATGCATGAAAAAGTAACTTCACTTTTTCTTTTTAGTTGATGTCCATCAGCGTATTAGGTGTTTCTGCTTGGATGAGAGACTACTTGAATAATGTTCTCACCTTAACTGCAGAAACAAGGTAAGCTCAAACCTACTAGTCTGTGTAGCTGAATGATTGGTGTATATGTAGTTAATTTTCCTTTAGCATGTTTACTAATTAAAGTTTCTGGAGCTATGATACTGTCAATTATTCTATCTTTTGGCTAAAAAAAAGTAAAATTACAATTTTTGAAAATTCTTTTATCAAAAGCTGAAATTTCTCACAAGGAAAAGGCAAACTAATTTAATCTTGTTTTATTTCTATGACTGTCTTTTCCGACAGGGATGAATTTTGGGCCATTAGCCAACAGGTAATCATGTTACTGTATAATTTTGAATACTTTATTGAGCCCAGAGATTTAAGAATGTTGTTCTACTACTGCAGTGCTCTAGTCGGGGAGCAGAGCATCCTTTGTACTGCATCTTGTCAGACAGGAAGATTTGGGCCTTTGCCCCAGACAGATTTCCAGCTCTGCTTTCTGCCCCCTGGAGAAAGCGTTTGACTTTAAAACCGTATAGAACCATAGTTTTTTTTCCATGAAACTTATACAGTACATTGCTAATCTACCCCTTTTAATGACTAGGCTGCCTTTTTTATACTGTGTAATTTTTCTGTGTGATTATACTATTTTGTTTCTGGTTTTGATTCAGGGTGGAGGAGGCTCTCATTTTGACATATTTTCCTGTGGTCCATCCAGTCATGATCGCTGTTTGCTGTTTCCTTATCATAGTTGGAATGTTGGGCTACTGCGGGACAGTGAAAAGAAATCTGTTGCTTCTTATCTGGGTATGTTTCACGACCTATACAAACACCTAACTAATGTGTTACTTAGACAATGAAATAAAAGCTCGATGCGGTGGCACTAGATAAATACTGCTTGTTTGTTTCTTTGTTTTTAAGTCTTTGTTTTATGTTTGCAAATCATACAGTGAGAAGGAATTTATTGCCTAGAATACATTATGTTATGAAGGAAAAAACCTCAAACTCTTAAGTACTAAATTACGGGAACATAAGTAGACTCTCTTGCTGCTGTCCTGACTCTTGACTGTTAAATAGCCAGGTAACCCGGACTTTGCTTTATCCATACTGTTGATTACAGGTGTAAAGCAACAGCATTTGCAGCTGATGAAGACTAACCCTGAGTGTGTTTTGAGGATTTATATTCTTTTACTTGAATCTGGAATTTTGCAGTTCATTGTAAGCAAATTTAAAAATGATTTTCAAGTAGCCACCTATCCCCTTCATTTGGAGGCCACATAACTAACCCAACAGCAGCTCACGTGCAGTAGCTTCTCTGCCAGGGGCCTGCATGGATAGGCTGAAGGTGAGGAGGCTTTGACTATACAGTGAGCTAGATACCTTTACTTCATCTGGAGGTCAGTGTGCTTGGGTCTGTGCAGGACAGATTTTATAGATAAATACTTTAAAAATTATTAGACTCCTGGCAGCCCCAGAAATTGGAGAGTACTGTTGTACCCATATGTGTCTGAGAAATCTGTCTGACGGCCCTTTGAGGAGTTGGGCTTCAGTCTTCTTAACAAGAGGATTAATGGGACTCCAAGGAGCCAAGGAGGGTGGGAGCAATGCGTGTAAAAGAAGTTTATCAGATTTACCAATACCATAATTCCGACAGGATAAGTGGACAGTTGAAGATCCTTTAATTCCTGAGATTATCCAGGTGGAGTCTTTTACAGGAATAGTTGAGATCATGCTGTATTTTCCCCATAGTGTGTGATGGGTTCTCTCAGAGATTCTTCTATTGCATTTTACTGTGGATCTGTTCAGACAAGACTATGTGAAACCTCACGAGTTATTACTCGAGACTGACAACTGACATGAAAAGTTGTCTGAGATTTTTGCAATCCTTTCTTTTATCTAATAGAAATTATTCCACTTGCTTCTATAATTGTAAGAGAAGCATACTGAGGCTTTTATATTAAAAGTAGCTTTCTTGAGAAGTCTTGACTAATCTTTATTTGAGATTCAGTTGAGGGCCTGTAGTTACAAGTATTCCCTAATTGCAAGATGGCAAATGCTGTTTTTCCTTTTGAGTATCTCTTAACTCTTTTTGAGAACTTGTTAAGCCTACAGTACAGGTCGAAGATTATAGTTTCAGTTACATGACTATGAAGAACTCAATTCATTTCATTATGGATTTAGCAATATTTAGTAATATTAATGTACCTTTTGGGGGAGGGGGCTTGAATTGTAATGTTACATTTAGCAGGAGCAAATTCTAAGATCTTACGCATAAATACGAATATTTGCAAAAAAACAGATTCCTGGAGTTTCATACTATATAATTATTAATGTTGTTTGCATATTTTAAAAGGAATGGGCTTTGTAAATTAGTTTGTATAAAAAATTAACCTATTAAAAGATGTTAAAAGTTGTTATTAGGCCCTCTGTTTTTATTGAAAAGTTATAAAATCGAAAACATTGCTTATAGTGAGGATAGCTTTTAAAGTGAATTAAAAGACAAAGGAACAATGTGATTTTGACCAATCTTACGTATTAACTGAAAACAAATTTAAGTTACAATTTTTGGTGTAAGTCTTTAGAAAGAAAGATCATAACTAACTGAAATACAGAATAAAAAAGGTTAAGTGTTGCTGGCCTTCAGTTTATTTAAACTGCTAGTGAAATGAAGAAAACATTCTTTTAATGCCATCTGGAAGTAAATTTATATAGTGTGTGTTTAAGCACTCAGATTACCCGAAATCAAGACAAGTCATTTCTATATTTTAACTTGCAATATTTCATTCCTGAGAGTCTGAGAGTTTGCCCTTGCCAACCAAAGAGATAAGCAAAATCTAAATGATGCCTTCCTGAGCGTGTCACTGACTTTGATTAATTGTTAAATGAGTACAATCCTGGTATACTGCAGAAATATGCAGACATAAGGCAGTGCTTCATTCGTCAGACTAATCAGAGTGTGATGGATCAACAGAATGAGCCTTTGTAAAACCAGATAAACTGAAAGAGAAGCAAAAAATTTCCATGTAAAACATTAACAGCCTCCTCAATCATGATTATACTTCTCGTGTTGAAGTACAAGAACAGCTATAATGACTACATTCAAAGATATTTGGAACCAAATCTTGATGTTTCTTATAGCATGTTAATTCAGTGTTATTAATTTAACAGAGATTTTTGGAAGATTTAAGGAAGCATAAGGACCATGTGTATTTTGAATACAACTGAATGCATACTTATATTAATATTGTATAATTTTATATTAAAATTACAACTGAATATAACAGAAAAAGATCCCCCAAATCTGTAAAGGATCCATATGCAGCATAAGCTTCTGTTTTGTGTGTGTGTGTGTTTGTGTGTTGCAGATGATCCAAGTCCTTGCACAGAAGTAACTGTTTCAAATGCAGAAGGTTTCTCCAAGAATTGCTGTGTCTTTCCAGTAGTGGTGGTGATTGTTTTTTCACTTCCACTCCTACCCGTTTAGTGTTGACTGCTTAAGTGTTAGGATGAATCTTTTGCTGTAGGTAGCTTTGGCTGTTGTCCCTGTGACAAATGACTTTTTTACATCATAACATTTGATACTCAGAATTTCATCAGCGTACTGCTCTAATCCTCTAGAGCAAACCATGGCAAATTAAAAATACCATTTTTCACAATATGACATAATATGACTCTAATGTAAAAAAAATAGATATGAAGTCTAGTGGATATGATGTCTCATATTTTGCTTTAGAGTATAAAATTGAGCTTGTGTATTTCTTCCTCCCTAGGGTCTGAATGTAGCATTGCTAAAGTTGTAGAACTAGTAAATTTATGAAGAGAGTGCCCGGGAGTTGTTACGTGTTGCATGTTGAGCGCGAGACTCTCACAGTTGGCTCCTGCCTCACGTCCTCCTCCTGGCTGAATGTCCCGCACTTCTTGGTGCAGCACCAGGGCCTGGTTCCAGCTCTGTGACTCCCCATGCCAGACGTGGGCTCTGCAAACCCTGCTAGAAAGCACGCTCTGCCCTTGCAGGCCTGCGCTACCACCAGGGACACATGTCCCATGTCAGAGGAGAAGCTTCTGAAACAGGGGCCAAGCAGAAACAGAGTGTCTGTAGAGAGCCTGATTCCTGAAGAACTGAGCAACTGGGTATGACTCCCCTGGGATTTCTGGCCATATATTCATTTTATAACGAGAGCTAGCATACAGTGAAAAGCAGTTGGTCGAAGATTTGGAGCTGGTCTAACTGTATTAGAATAGGTTAAAAAAAAAAAAAAAGACAAGGGTCTTGTGTCCTTTTGTTTTGTCAGTTTTTTTTATTAAATTGTGAGATGTCCTGTGATATATACCAGTGTAACATGAATTCTCTCTAGTCTTTCCATTTTTTTTAATTATAATTCACTTTAAGATGACTTTTGTGTTCCTGATCAAATGAAAATCTTCTGCTTTGTGTTCTTATAACATGAAGTGCAGAGAGGAATCCTTCAGAGGCACAGACAAAATTCAGTCCTTAAATGTCTTTTGTAGCTAGAAGATTGCCTTTAGAAAGGATATTGTTTCAGAAATAAAGTTCTATTGCCCAAATAAATTTTTACTTTACAATAATTTCTCTGTAAATATTTCGGCTTAGAATTTCCCTACTTAACAGGCAAATTCATTGAATCTGACACAGGGTAAGACTATACCACCTTAAACAATTCCACTGGTTTTGTGTATATGCTTAAAAAGCTTCAGAAAGAATATTTTACCGCATGACTTTTCCTTAATTTTTAAGCTTCAGATCATCTTTGTATGGTGTTTTGGGGTATATTTGTGTGTGTGTATTACTTAAATCTTTCTCATTTTCTGTTACTTAGATTTTAATCTTTCCTTTAAAAGTATTTTAATTTACTAATATGGAGCTACTTTGTGACCCTGGGGATGCAGTTCAATCCAAATCCTTCCGTCACTGCGGTGGTAACTCCCAGCAGCAGTAGCTACCAGTGAGGTTTGTTGAACGTGCTTCTCAGCTTGGCGCCTTTTGTTCTCATCCTCATTGCCATGGAGTACAGTTGCACCAGTAATTTGTTAGAGAGGTTTTATTCCTGATTCAGGGAAAGGCTGGTAAAAACAAAAGAGCTATTAAAAAGCTCTGCACATAGCATTTGGGGTGGAGGATGAGGAAACAGGGGGTTTTCAGGGGAAAGGTGTCTGAGAATAAGATGGGATCCTATGTCACTTATTTAGAGAAGTTTGCAGTGTTAGCAGCTTAAACTGGAATATCTGGACTCCTCCAAAGCACTCCCATAAAAAGTGTAACAGTTCAAGGAGAAGAAATGGAAGTCTAGGTTTTGCGATGTTTGTTACAGTTTGTTAAAATTGTTTAACTTTTCAAATATATATATATATATATATATTTAATAACATTCCTTATCTCTGTATCTTCTCAAGACAAAAACAACCAAAAAGCCCACCATGAATGTGTTCTTTGAATAGTAACCTTCAGGGTGTGAGGATTTGCTTAAGTTCTTATTTCTTAAGACAAGAGTAAACTCTCAGTTGCTTGACATAGAAGTTCATGAAACTCCCAGTAGAAAAGATTTTCCTGGCTGGGTTTTCATTGCAAATTCAGGCATTTATAACTATGAATTTTCCGTAATTACAGCGTTCACACAGCATCAATTCAAATTGGTCTGGACAAGTTTTCCCAAAAGGGAAAAACTGTAAGAAATACTTAATAGTAGGGCAATATTTTTTAGTGATTTTTTTTTTTTTTTTTTTTAAATCACAGAAGAGGCAGAGAAATAAGTCTAGTCTGATGCTAATTGCCGTTTAGGCCCTGTTAG